CTGATGTGCTCGATTGGTAAGAGCTTGGAGCTCCCTTACCAGCGAATTTCTAGAACAGTGTGATGTTCTCTCTCTTCCAATTCATTTTTCGATTCATTTCCCAGTTCTTCACCTTCTCTGGGCTGAGAATACATCCATACGGAACGAGGGTCGTTGCATTATGTAGTGCTTCGCTATGAAATCGGCACAGGGGAGGCAACAAAGAGTAGTCACCTTCTTACACATTTGGAACGGAGTTGATTCACTTTACTTAATCCGAACCGAATGCTCTCATCCAAAATTCGAAGAGTGCAACCCAATCACTCATAAAATACATAAGAGCCTTACCTGAACGGCATCAGAAGATTTTCCCACGGGAACAGATTTCGAACTCAACGAGTCCTCGACAGGTCGTGGACCGTTTCAACCTTATCTCGGGTGGCAGATGGCATCATACTCCAAAGACGGTGAGGACAGTGAAGAAAATTCAGTTCGAGCAGCGGCACCCTGCGACGGAAAGTCTCGTGATGTGCGAATTGACTTGTTCCCTTCCCCACACATTTGGCAGCAGAGACGGGTGAATGCTCAGAATTTTCGAGTGACTGTAATTGAACATTTAAAGATCGCGATGGGGGGATTTTCATGAAGAAGAATGATGGATGGTGGAGATAGCGAGTGTCCAAGTGGGAGGGGCTCACGCTGCGGAAGGTGTGGCGCAGTGACAAAGCGCTAAATTACCTCTGAACCCTCTCCGGTTCTCATTTAGGCGAACTGCCGGTACGTGGAAAAGGATCATAACGGCAGCGAACAGTAGAAGCGAAACCATTATGGCCAACTTTCAATAGGATTTTCCAAGTGTAGTACTGCACCGACCATCGCCTTTGGCATCATTTCAGCATTTAATTCCAACCGAACAACATTCACCTGGCAGTAAACTCTCGGTTCAGGTCACCCCTGAAATGTTCTGGCGAAAATAGACTCTCTGGTTTCTCGACCTTTTTTTCAGAAATCATCATTTTCTGCCTCCACTTTCACATTTCAACTGTAACAGCATATCGAGAGGATGCTTTTGGAACACTAATCTTGATACGGCTTGCATTCTTTTCTTTATTCAAGTATAGTAAAGCATGTCTTTTCCTATTTGAAGGTATGACAACTTCAGCGGGAGGTGACACTGCTGTGCGAAAGAAACGCACATTGCAAGATCGTGAGAAAAGGAAAGTTAGAAAGAACTCAGATTCAAATGAGCTCAAGAAAGAAACGCGAGATTTGAAGACTGTCCAGCGTACGAAGAAGCCCAGCGATGATATGATTATGATTCGTCTGATGAGGAGGTAAATCTCTTTGTCTACGGTTTTCTAGTTTTTTTTTCTGCTTCCTACTCATTGTCAGCATTTTGTTTAGGACCTTCGAAATACCATAGGAAATATTCCTGTGAACTGGTACGACGATGAAACTCACATCGGCTATGATCAGCAAGGTGAAAAGATAGCAAAGCCGAAAAAGAAGACGGAGATTGATGTTTTTCTTGAGAAGATGGAAGACCCCGACTACTGGTACGTTATTTTACTTGTGTATGCAGAATATTTCAAAAGGGAAGGAAACCACACTAAAATACGCTTACGTACAATATTTGTTAGATTTTATTTCCTTTCAAACATCCTGTCAGTAGTACACTGCGCCGCCGGCGAAGTTCAGGCGGAAAGTGTTTGACCGCCAATCCGGGACCGATGTTGTGCTTACGGATGAACAGGTTGGTTTCCAAGGTTTTTTTTTTCACTCTCATTCCCCTTGTTTTTTATGCTTCAGAAAGCCTTGAATGAATCTACGGAGACCCTTGTGAAGTTGAGAAAGCTTTAAGAACTCCTAAAAGCTCAAATAAAACCGTGCAAACGTTGCGGAGTAGATGGTGTCGCGACTCGGGTGATTTTTCATAGAGCCATTGACTCTACGTCACTCACTGAAAAGCTACCAAAATTTGCCATTTATTCTTGCAATAAGTTGCGAGATCTACAAGACCACGTCACCTCTTGAAATTATTTTTTTACTGTTTCTAATGATCCACCCGAGGAGTGATCGCAAAGGAGGAGTCAAATAAACGAAACAAAACTTGAAATACGCTAGACCTCATGCACAGCATCATTCCGATTCATGAGAATGCCAGTGGTGGCTCCGACATTTAGAATGAGCCGTATACACTCAGATAATCACTTGCACCTCCATCTACTACATTTAGTTGTTGAGAGCATGGCAGATCGGGTAGTTGAGGGAAGTCTTTATTGTTCTGGTTTCTCATGTTCTTCGGACACTAATGCTTAGTTCTGTACTTGTGGAACTTTTTAATAATTTTTCCAGGTCGAGAAGCTGAATAACCTCGCATCTGGTAAATACCCCGTGGTTGGGTATAATCCTTATGAGCCGTTTTTGGACTTATTTTCTTCGGAAAAGACCATTCATCCAATCGATAATAGGTATGGACACGTTTGCTGCTGTGTTTTCAGTTGTTCTCTGTTCTTTATTACGAATTCTCTTTCTTTTCAATAGTCACCAGCTACTTTTATGCTCAGACGTTATTTGTTCCGCAATTTTATGTGCAGTACATATTCAGGCCGGAGCCGAAATCGCGTTTCATTCCATCGAGGGACGAGATGCGTATTGTGAGCCGCATGGTACATGCCATTAAAATGGGTTGGGCTAAAGGCCCCAAGCCAAAGCCGGAGAAAAAGGTGAGTCAAAGGTTTGATGGAGGCAAACTCCAAATATCAACTCAACTTATCTGGCTTTCACTGTTACCAGGTCTACGACCTTTGGGCTGCTGAGGATTCGATGGACCACAAGACAAAATCCGAACTGGCTCGTATGAGAATGCATATGCCAGCACCTAAGGTAACGAAACATTTCAGGTTGTCCTTGTAGAATTGGTTTCTCCGTGGGCATTATTCGCATGCTCGCTCAGTACAAATTGCTGATTCCACATTGTTTTGTTAAGCAGGACGTCTCTTATTATATCTTACCGTTAGGAGGCTTGATGAAGGGAAATTAGTATGCCGAAGCCGAATTATTGATAACATCGTTTTGGACGTGTTTTAATACCCAACTTTCATACGAATATCTTCAGATGCCGCTTCCTATCCATGCTGAATCGTATAATCCACCTGAAGAATACCTGTTCGATGAAGAAGAAAAACGAAAGTGAGTGCTCTCACCTTCATTTCATCTTCATTCTTCTTCGTAGTTAGCGATTTATTTTCCTGTCGGGAGTTGAATAACGCAAAACACTAATTTGTTCACCAGCTGGCCCCGAAAATCATCACATAGATGAAAAGATCAAGGCTTTGGGCGTTGATCAATCCTTCTCCGGAATACGCCTCGTTTTCTTTTTCCAGTCAGGCATTTACATGTGGTAGGTCCTAGGCAAAGATTTGCTGGTTCTTTAAAATGTACAAGTCGGTGTTTTTATCACTCCAGGCAAGTCTGACACCATTCAACTGTCTTTGGAGGGATGGAAGCTTCCGTTAGCCTGAACCAGGTCCGATTCGAAATTTTACCCCTGGACCATGCACACGGCATGCGCCGCCTTTTGTCGCAAAAAATACCCGAAATCTGGCCTATTATCTGCTTAAAATCTTCTAAACGTATTCATTTTAATTTGAAGACCATTTCATATATCTTAAGTGAAGCATTACGACGCGAATGAAGCGCCAGTTTTCCGTTCCATCCTACTACCAATTCAGGTGGGAAGAGGCTGAAATTGAAGATCGGCGACTGCAATTTATGCCACAGAAGTACGATGCATTGAGAAAGGCGGGTATTTTAGTTGAGTTGAGTTCAGATAATTTCACATTGTGGAGTGTTCATTGCAGGTTCCTCAGTACGACAAATTTTTGACAGAACGCTTCGAGCGATGTCTTGATTTATACCTCGCTCCTCGAAAGATAAAAATGAAGGTTTGCTTGGGGCTTGGCTGCCTTCCAATTTTCTACGAAGCTGGTCATTTGATTGCCTTTGATTTTTATCAATTTTTTTATTCAGCTGCAAGTCGACCCATCAGAGCTTCTCCCTGACTTGCCGAATCCGAACGATCTCAAACCATTCCCAACAACCTTAGCCTTTGTGAGTTTGCACTGGATTATGTTTATAGGCGCATTTCAGTTTCTTTTCTATATGCGCCAGTTAATTTTAATCCACTACCTCTAAAGAACAGTATTGCCGATCAGCTGGCCCACATGTAGACTGGCAGCGTAACGTCCTATTTTTCTTTGTTGCAGTATATGCGCGCACACGTCGGCCAAGTGCGATCAATTAGTGTCGAACCAGATCGCGGTGAGCTGTTAGTTTCTGGTGGAGAAGATGGCACTGTTCGTCTGTGGATGATGGATTCGGGTCGCTGTATCAAGGTTTGTTTCAGAAGCATGAATTTGTAATTCAATTGTTGCTATATGAAATCCTCGAACATTGTTAAAAATATTTTCGATTCAGACCTACAAAGTAGGCGGTCCTGTGACTTCTGTGGCATTCTGTCCTTTGGGTAGTAAATCGTTAGTGGCTGTGGCCTATGAAGGGCGTCAGGTAGCGTTCTGTACTTTTTAAATCTTCTCTCATATTTTTACTTGTGTTCCTTATTCGATAATATCGAGTTTAGATTTCTATATTCAATACTAATTGTGGTGATAAACTTATATGCTCCCAAACAGAGGAATTTATTCGTGAGGTGCGTTTGTTTTGAAAATAACTGATTTACTGCAGATATGCCTTGAAATCTTGCTGTTTGTTTTGACTTGTCTTGCTTGTTGACTGCTGTTGCAACGCTGCAAGTTGTGCTGCAATGTGTCTCAAGCATCCTGAGTTATGGAAAGACTTACGCCCTGGGCGGGAATACATAGAATGCGCCCCTCCACCTTTCCGGGCTATTGTGCTACCAATTACACCAGTGGGGCACTATTTGACCATAACTCGTCTTCAGTGGTATAATTACCATAACTTATGAGCTCTCCCACGTTTAATGTGATGAGCTGGTTACCAGACATTGTCACCAAATCGCAAGGCTGAAAGCTGTAGCAGATATTAACTATAGCCCCGGAAGCTAGAGGTGCGAGTTCGATTCCCGCGGGGAGCGAAAGTTTTTATATGACTTAGCATTCTTGTGAAACCTGCTGGTTACATCGAAATCAAATACTGTTAGCGGATAGTTTTTTTTGTATTCGGTAGGTTGTGTAATTTTTGGATTTTGATGTTCCACTCTCTGAAGGTCCCTATAGAGGAGTCCGATGGTAAAGTGAACTGGCGTCGTATCAAGGACAGAATCGTACTGGAGATGCCAAATGTAGGCTTTGAACCTATCCATTTGTTGCATTCTGTTTTCCCAATTGATCAGTGATTTTGTTTTGAATTTGCCTTCTCTTGAAGGAGAACTTCTTTCTTGAATGTAACTTATTCTCTCTATCGTTATTATGAAATAGTCCTCCATCGTAGAAAGTAATGCTCTAGGAGGTTCGGAAAGTCGTCTGGCATGCCAAGGGAGACTACCTGGCTTCGGTTGCCGTGGATGACATTGCTACCTCAGTATATATACATCAGATGAGCAGGGCTAGATCTCAGGTTAGTGCTACAATGAGTAGATCTATTCTTGAGTTCTTTCTAGATTTTCAATTCCTAATTAATTCCGCTCACAGCGCCTCTGTTCGGCTTATAGCGCTCAGTGGACTTCGACGTCCTACAAGTAGTTAGTCCTTGTGATCCACACTGTCTGAATCACAACGGGTTTATTTCGTGTGGTGACCAGGACGAAGACAAAGTTGTTCTAGATCCAAATTTTGCATAATGCGAAATTTTCCGTTCTTTTTTACACACGTAGAACTCTGCAGCTGATCTCAAAAACGCAATCGATTCTGTTCTCTGCATTGCCAAATGCGATTATCGTTGAACTATGTGTTCATAGATTTGATGCATAGAAAACTTAATACTGCATTAGTTGTTGTATGTATGCTGCTTTCGAATTCCAGTGTCCGTTCACGAAGACGAAGGGCCATGTGCAAAGCGTAGCTTTCC